CTAGTTGCCAGCGAGAACCAGCCTGGAGAGAAGGAATGGCAACCTGTAGGACCTGGCACCAAGTCTCAGTGGGGCACACGGAGGCTGAAGCCCAGGGGTCAAAGCCAGGATTGAGGCAAGCGGCTGTGGGAAGTCCCACGGTGGCCTGAAACACCTCCTTAAGAGGGTCATTCCTTTGGGCCCAGGCCTGCTTCTCAGCTCCTCACAGCAAAGACAATGTGTCCCAGGTCCACACTGAGTGCTGTCACCCCCTGTGCATGAGGAGAGTCCCTCCTCCACTTTGGAGAGGGGAGATGGGCACCAGCCAGCAGGAAGTGGAGAGGACAGGCCTCCTTTCCCAGCGCCTAGGACGAGCAAATGCAAGAACCTGCCCAACAGCCTTGGCTCGGGCCTTCGTTCACCAGGAACTGGCGGGGTGGCAGCAGCATGCCATGACCTGGCTGGAGACATGAGGGGACATACGTGATGTCCAAGACTGCAGATCCTCAGTATTTGTGAATCCCATACTTGTGGATTCACCTTGTCATTACAATTTAATCGCAACCCCCAAATCAATGCTTCAGTGTTCTCAGGTTCATGGTCAAACTTGTGCACACTGACAGGAAGTGTGGGTGGCCTGTGCTGAGGTGGAACAGGGCCACACTCCACCTTCTCCTTTGAGCTCTCGCTGAAAGCAAGCATCTTGCCCTGCCCTGCTCAGGTCCCTGTTTGTCACATGTCTATGCTTTCTGTTGTTGACTTCACTGTTCTCAATGATCCCCAGGCGTAAGGCCACAGGCTGCATTCCAGAGGACAAGAAGGTCCCATGTGTGCTCAACGGGCTTCCTTCAGGCACGGGTCGCAGGCTGCTGGCCATGGGTTCAACGTCCAATAAACATCTTAAATAAGGTGTCTTCTGACAGGAATGCACGTGAGGTAAGGCTGCATGTTCGTCAGCTGACAGAAACGTCGTTACCCAGCAGAGGCTCGGGGTTGGCTTCGTCAGAGTTCGGGTGACTGTGGAATACAACTACCAGGAGTGACGAGACTCAACTGTCCATGTGCCCTCCTACAGAGGTGCTCCGCTCCGCAGGGCCACCTGCTCTGTGGCTGCAGGTTGGCATGCCCACGCCCAACAGCAGTCCCAGCTGTCGCTCCAGCTCTGAGTTCCACCAGCCTCAGCATCTCCCTGCTCCTCCCCACCCACAACTCCTTCTGCTGCTGCTCCTGATGTCAGGGGCACTCACAAGAAAGCTGTGATGGACGGGGGCGTCACCAAGCAGAGGGTTCTTCCACAGGATGACTGCCTGGTTGGTGGCCTGTTAGTGGATCCCTGCCTCTTGGTTCACTTCTACTTTATCTCCTGGCAAGGGCTGTTCCCAATGAGCGCCTGGAGTGAACGGCAGCCTGCCCTCCTCACACAACTCTGCCCGTCTCTGGCCACAGAGGTTGGCAGAGGTTTGTCCTGGTGTTTGCTGGGCCAGCGCCCTTATACCCACTGTCCAGAAAGAAAGGACCCATGTGGGGGGCCAGCGCCAGCCTCCACATAAAGGAGGAGCCACCTGGTCACAAGGCACCTTGGTCCCAGGCTGGCATAGTGGCCTGTGCAAGGTCAGTTCTGTCCACCTCAGTCTCTCCTCCCTGGCAGGGGGGATGAGCTCAGACCCTCTGTCAAAGCCATAGAGGATTTGAAAAAGGCAAAGCCTGGCTCCCTGCGGGAGGCTCTGGAGCACTTCTCTCCTTTCCCACCAGATGTTCTGACGGGGTGTTGTGAACACCCCAGATTTTAGACTCTTGCTGAGGCCAGTCAAGTGTCCCTCTCCCAAAAAGCCAACCCTGACCTCCTCAACCAGAAAGGCAGTTGCCTGCTGAACCCTGCCTTCAAGCAACAATTGCCACACACAGCCTGAGGTGCTGAGAACACATCTCCCCAGCCACGCTGCTGTGACAGAAGCAGGGGTTAGGTGAAAAGTGACTTCCTGTATCAATTCACTATCTGTCCACTGTTTTCCAGAAACCTTTTATGATGACTTATAAAGAGCACAGAGCCAGCTGAAGCAGCACACGCCTGTAATCCCAGCTATTCAGAAGGCTGAGGCAGAAGGACAAGTTTGAGAACCAGCCTTAGCAACTAAGGGAGACCCTGCCTCAAAATAAACAAAAAAGGATTGGGGATGCGGCACAGTGGTAAAGCACTTCTGGGTTCAATTCCCAGAATAAATAAATAAGGAAAGAAGGAAGGAAAAGACAATGTGTATAGAAAAGGCCGGATAGAAATGAATACAAATCTGACTCAGTCAGAACAGCTGATGTCCCTGTGTCTCAACTTCTTTCTCTGCAGGAATCACCCACCTGCAGGGTGCTTGGCCTTTGGGCACCACGGTACGGGCAGGGCATGCCAGCAGAACATGCTTTCCTTCCCCACTTTCTTTTTGTTATCAAAGGAGAAAGCAGCTTAGTTTCCCAGGGAAGGCAAAGTTTGCCTAGCCCTAAATTCTAAAACCAAGTTTTCATAAGAAACACTGTCAGAAGCTGTCGGCCCAGGCGGCAATGCCTCAGATCATGGTTTTAGAACAGACCAGACAGGGATTTGTGACACCTCTTTTTGATAACATCCCAGGGTATTCAGTAACATAAACAAAGACCAAATGACCTCTGCAAAGACCACTTAGCTCTACATGCATCCAGAGGCAGGGGGTTAAACAGGTTCCGGGGTGACTGTCTGCAAAGGGTTTGGTCTCAGCCAAGCAAAGGGAAGATCCTGAGCTCACTTTGGATTGACCACATGGTCACCAACAGCAGCCTCTGCCTATGTCCTCCATGCACACCCAGAGCACACAGCCCCCAGCATCCTTCCGGAACAAGAGAGGAGCAGCCACTTCCCCTTTTATCTCTCCGAATAACTGCATATCCTCCATGACTGGCTCTTCTCAAAGACCAAGCCGCCTGGCCTTAACTTGAAGGGCTTTTAGGAGAGCACTGCCTGGTGTTCAAACAGGTTCAGGACAGGGAGGAAGGCAATGTGACATAGAAGGGACGCTCCAGGCTGTGGCCAAGAAGGGCTCTCAGGGGCTGTCCAGGCCAATCTCACCACCTAGTCTACATTTTCCCAAGTGCCTACTGCACACCAGGCACTGGGGACAGAGAAAGAGAATTTACCATGACTGCCTGGAAGCTCACAGTCCACGGGGAGGCACATGGAAAGGCAAGAGGGGTTGGGGAGTAGCAAAGGCAGAGGGGGTCGACTCTACCTGGGAAGGCCAGGGAAAGCAAACTGGGTCCCCATCACTGAAGAGGTGAGGCACACAGAGAAGGAGCACCACGCCTTGGAAAACCTCGAGATAGCCTGGGAGGGCTGGAGCATGGAGTGTGAGGGATGACATGGTGGCGGGGGACAGGTATGGTGAATGGGGCCCAGATCCTCGGGCCTTGTACATGCAGATGAATTTTCTTTCAAATTTGGTTCCCCCACCCTCTTTTTTTTTTTTTTTTTGGCAGTACCAGGTATCCAAACCAGGACTTCACATGCCAGGCAAGCACTCTACCACTAGCCACATCCCCAGGCCCCAGGTTTGGAAAGGATCAAACAAGACCAAGAAAAACCAAATGACTTAGTTAACAGCAAGTTAGGGGGCAGGCCAAGCATGCAAGCCAGATCTCCTGGTTCCCATGGTCGATTCTCTACCCAGGTGCCTCCCAAGTATTAGCAGATAAGCCATTCAACTCACCACCCGAAGAACTCACAGTCAGGACCTGGCCATCTCTCCAGCAGTGAATATGCTGTCCTGTTCCCTTGGCAAGTCACTCCCTACAACAGCTCTTCCTAACTCACTGTGGCTCTCTGCAGTGGGAGAGAGCTGGACAGCTATTCCAATCAGAGTACAGTCTCTTCATGGGAGAACTGACCCACAACAGTCCCTGAGCCAGGCAAGCTAGAGTCCCTGAGGCAAGCCCAGAGGGGTTTCTGCTCCATGCAGGCCCTAAACCCCACAGGCCCTGATTGCACACAGGATGCTGACCCAGGCTGGGGGCCAGAGATGAATCAAACTCCACCCCAGTAGCTCACAGTCCAGCAGAGGAGATAAGCCAGGCACAAAAGTAACTATAAAATAAGGCAGATAGTGATAAGAGCCAGAGATAAACTGCAGTGGGGTTCAGAACAGCAAGAGGAGTCGGGCTTGGGTGCGACGGGTGATTCAAAGAGAGTATTGACTACCTTCTCCCCTGAGATGCAGGATGGGGGACCTGGGGGAGCACGGCTGCTACCCTAACAGTTCTGCTGACTCCCAGAGGCAGGGGAGGAGCTGGCAGTGGACAAAGAAAGATGCTCCTGAAGCATCCAGATTCAGGCAGGGAGGGGGAAGGTAGGCCACAGTGTTTCGGAGATAAGGAGGGGTGGGGGAGGAGGAGCCTAGGATTTCTATGCAGGAGCGGCAAGTCCCTTGAAAGGGGACAATGCTAGAGGACCTGCCTTGGAATGGCATCAGTGTGGCAGGCACTGTGTTTACTTGGGATGTCCATTTAGGATGTGGGGTGGGGATCAGTGCACATTGGGGAAGGGGGACACAAAAGTTTCCCTCTCCCCAGGCCGCCCCCAAACCCCACCACTGATAAGAAAGGATGCAGGGTGGTGGAAGAGGAAGCTGCCGGCCCTAGGAAGAGCAGGCACCTCCCAGTACGGCGGGAGAGAGAGAGAGAGAGCCCATCCTGGGGTCCTCGACGCCCACCCGGCCGGGGCCGGGGAGAAGCCCGCGGAAACCGAGCCTCCGGGCAGCCGGCTCGCGCCTCCCCGGGTGCGGGGCCCGGCGCTGCGCACGCACCTGCCCCCGGGCTGCCGCGACACCTGCCCCGGGGCGGGGGTCGCCCTTACGCCGCCGGGCCGTGGCCCCGGGTCTCGGCAACGCGCCAGGCCGCGGGTCCCCTCGCCACGCCCTCCGCCGCCCAGCCTCGGCCTCGGCCGGGCGCTCTGGGATCCCTCGGGCCGCACGGCCGCCCTCCGCCCCGGCCCGGCGGTCACTCACCCGCCCGCGGCCGCCGCTAGTCCCTCCGATCGCGCTGGGCCGCCGCCTCCTCACGCCGCCGCAGGGGCAGCGCGGGCCCCGCGGCCCCGGCCCTGCCGGCTGCGCCCCGCGGCCCCGCGCGCCCCCGCCGCCGGCTGGCCCTG